CTAGCCAATCAGAGTCTTTCCCTGAGATTTTTTTTTTTTCTTTTGGTAGGTTGTCTTTCCAAAGGCAAAGGTGATCTGATATGAGACTGGTGGTGTCTGTGGGCAGGCTGGCCCTGTGGAGAAAACTCATCTAAGCCTAAGAAAGAAACAGCTCAGCTAGACTGAAAGAATGGGCAAGAGGATGAGAGAGAGAGAGAGAGAGAGAGAGGCATCTTAAGTCTCTGATACCCATATCCCCGAGGTCAACCACATCCCTGACTCTCCAGGAACTGAGCCAGTAAATCCCGGCTTAAGCTAGACTGAGTTATGTTTACTTAAAACCAAACGATGCTTGACTTCTACATCTTCATTATTTTCTTTAATGACTCACGCTAGCCCCTCATCTGGACTCAGCATAATTTATTAACCGTTCAGTCCCTGATGGGTGTTTGACTCTACCCAAATTCCCCTGTTACCAATCACGTGCTTATCCTTTTCCAAGTGTGTGCAATTATCTCATGAGAGGTAGTTTCTAGACATGAACTTGAGTATCACAATATGATCAGATGCCCTTGACCTCCATCCCTGCCTTTGGCTTACAAGTCGTGGACTGTCCCCCAGCTCCCCCCATCCCTCTGTGCCACAGGCTCCCAGTAAGTCTTGCAGCCAAACCTGGACAAGGAGTGATGGGGGACTGGGGGACATCAAGCATGTTTGTAAAGGCCCCCCCAGAGTCCCACTTGCAGCTGGGGTCTCACAGGCCAGAGCCTCAGTGGTCCCAAGATTCAGGGGGCATTCCATCTGCCAGGCAGAGGCTCCCTTCCAGTTCCGAGTCATGAAAAAAATTAGAAATTAGAGAAAATTATGAAAGGGAGGGACTTCAGAGATGATTCATCCCAGACACACACCGTGCCCACCGCCTGCCACATCCCAACCATCCCAGATGACTCCATCAAGTACCCCACAAAGGTCAGGATCTTTGTCTCTCTTGGGTGGGTGCCAAGAATAGCATGTGGAATGTAGTGAATGTACACACATCTACTGGATGAAGGGATGGAGGGAGGGAGGGAGGGAGGGAGGGATGGAGGGATGGAGGGAAGGATGGCTCTAGCTGTGCAGCCAAAGGCAGGTTCTTTAATACTCACTCTATTAAAACCCTCTCTCTCCAGGTCTCCGTTATCCCACATGTAAATGAGGTCATTGAATTAGACCAGCCCTAAGCTCCTGCAAGCTCTCTTGCTCTCAAACCAACTGTGACCAACACAGATGAGGAATCCTGAGCTTTTGGGGCACAGAAAGCATCATCTACATGGTTTTACTACAATAGAATTCAAGTGCTGGACCTTTCCTACCTCTCCCCTGAGAGGTGGGCAGGCCATTAAACTTATTTCTAAATGTTTGAAGTCACGCTTGCATAAGTTCAGAGTGCAAATGAAGTCAGGCAGCACAGAGCTTGAATCCGAGCTTGCTTCTTCCTGGCTGTGTGACCTTGAGCAAGTAACTTATCCTCTCTGAACTCAATTTGCACATCTATTAAACAGGGATAGTAATACACTTTGTTGGGTTGTGGAAAAGATTAAGAAAAGATTAAATGAGAGGATTGGCAGCACTTAGAACAGTGCATGGCATGTAGTGAGCACTTCATAAATGATGGTTGTTGTTGTTGGTTGTCTACAGTCCCCTATGTCTGGGGACTGCCGTGTGTTGTCCCATAACCAACTGTGGACCAACTATGGACCTCCACATAGCTCACATGGAAGAAGCAGAGCCTCATTTCAGGGAAAAGGGCTGATCCCAGGCCAGAAATAGCCTCAGGAAGAGGCCTTTAAGGGGAGCCTTTCCCATCTTCATCCTTCTTCCTACCTGAAATTCAGGCACAATGGCTGGAAATCAGGCAGCCACTTTGAGCCATGAGGAGACCTTGAGGATAGAGGTAAAAAATTAGAGGGAGCCTGGATGCCCGATTCTCAGGCTTCTGTGAGAACAGCCCTATATTCCCTACCTCAGGCTTCATTCTCATAAGAGGTAAATATACCTCTAATTTCTTTAACCCATTGTTATTTGGGTTTTCTATTTCACATAAAGAAACTGAATTCGGTCTGCCCCCATTTTGCAGATGACAAAAAAACAAGTGTCAGATGGGAGAAATTCTCACAGCTAGCCAGCACTGAGTTGGGGTTTGAATCAAGGTCTCTACAGTTCCCCTGCTATTGATTCTACCCACTGCCACCCACAGTGGTCCCTCCCTCCTAGACTACCTGCACACAAGCTGTTAGACGTGACCAGGGCTAGGGGGACAGAGGGAAGGGCGATGCAATCATAGAAGGCTTCACGGAGGAAGTGGCATTGGAGTTGAGTCTTAAAGAATGAGTTAGTAATAATAACTGAACCATTTGACCAGCCCTTCAGACAGAACGGGAAGCCCCAGATGCCAGCCTGTGGTCCCGGGCAAAGTACATCCACTGGGCCTGGCGGCAGCATTAGAACACATTTCAAGGGGACCATCCTCAGGTTCAGTGATTCACCTGGAGGACTCACAGAACTCAGCCCACAGCCTTACCTACAACTATGATCTGTTACAGCAAAAGGGTACAAACAAACCCAGTCAAAGCACCTGGGGTGAGGTCCACAGGAAACCCTGCATGGGTGTCCAAGGATCCTCTCCTGCTGGAGTCACGCAGGAGCCACTAAGTCCTCCAGTAGCAAAATGTGCAAATGCATGTGAGATGCTGTCAACCAGGGAAGCTCAGCAGAGACTCAGTGCCCAGGGTTCTTTATTGGGAGCTGGTCATGGACGCACCCTCTGTCCAGCATACTGCACGCTTCCAGATTTCCAGAAAGAAAGCAAGGGTTCAGCATGACCCACGGCGTTTGCACAGTTTAAGCTCAGCAAGCCACTCTCATCAGGGAATAGCAGGAATCCTCTGGAAACCCAAGTTCCCAGACCCGAGGCGAAGGCCAAACCTGCAAACAGGCCTTGTAAATGATCACCGTCCAGTCTTGCTGGGTCAACTTTTCTGCACAGGAAATGACACCTTCCTCCCCGTTTCTGTTTTTGAAGTGACCCAGGAAATGGGCTGTTGTGCCTCAGACCCAAATGTGTAGAGAAAAATCTATTTCCTCTGGAGACCACTTCAACAGATTTCCTAGAGAATGACCTTGAGTTATGCAAGAGCCCAAGGGCAGGAGGGGGCTGCTTCCAAGATTCCTGAGAGCACAAGACTGGACCTAGGATGGCCACTAATCCAAGTTGGTCAAGCATGTTCCAGAAATGAGCCTCAGTTTTCACTTCAATGACATGAAGGCATTGGATTTCACCTGTACTGGTGAGCTTGTGCTGCGTAACAAACCACCCCCCAAATTGGTAGCTTAAAACAACAGCAAACTTCTGTTATTTCTCACAGTTCCATGGGACAGCCATGTGGGTTGGATTCCACTTAGTGGTCCTTCTCTTGGTGTTCCCTGGACTCACTTATGAGGCTGCAACAGGATGCAGTCAGGACAGCTGGGCTTTTCTCTGTGTGGCCTCCCACCCTCCAGCAGGCTAGCCCAGGCCGGTTCTCACAGCAGCTGGGCAGGCAGGTGGCCAGAGACAGACACAGCCCAGTCCAGATTCAATGGGAAGAGAAATAGACTCCACCTCTTGATAGGAGGAGGGGCAGTGTAACCATACAAAGGGGTGTGCACACAGGGAAGGGTGGAAAGTGTAGCCAACTTTGGCATCAACCATACTACTTCTCCTATGTTCCTTTTATTCATTCACTCATTCATTCATTGCTTTTACCAGACATGAAGACGTGGAGGTGACCTTGTCCTCATGGGGCCTCCAGACTGGTAGGGAAACAGACGAATAAATCCATGTGTGACACACAGTTACACCAAGTGAGCATTTTTTTTTTATAGATATTTCTTTACACAACGCTTTTTTCCACAAAGAAATTGGATCAACCTGCTGGAAAAGGCACAAGCATTAAATTGGGAATTTTAACCAGAAAGAAAACTGAAACCAAAAGGAAAAGAAGATAGTGTTCATTAAGCACCCACTATGTCCCAAGCATCTTATGCACATTTTTTCCACCCTCTTTTCTATAACCCTGAAGTTAAAAATATATTTTATTTATTTATTAGAGACAGAGAGAGCACAAGAGGTGCGGGCAGGGGAGGAGCCAGAGAGGGTTAGTAGGCTCCCCGCTGAGCAGGAAGCCCAATGCAGGGCTCGATCTCCAGGACTCTGGGATCATGACCTGAGCCAAAGGCAGCTGCTTAACTGACTGAGCCCCCAGGCACTCCTCTTATTCCCCTTTTATAGGTAAGCAAACTGAGGCTGGTTGCAGATAAGTGACCTTGCTGGAGTTCTCACAGGACCCGAATGGCAGAGCTGAGAGCCACACAGCTGAGTCTGGCCACAAAGTTCATGTGCTACAGTGGAACAGTTGTAAAGGAGCTTCGGATTTGACTCTGAGTTTCCTAGCAGCCTGGGGGAAAAGAGAAACTAAACAGACTGCCAATTGGTCACTAGACAGGAAAGAGCCAGGCATGTCATCAAAGGGAAGCAAAGGCTTTCCTAGCACTGAATCCATTTTCCTTTTCCTAAGGCTGAGGAGATGGAAGAGAGCTTGTAGGGCAGAATCTTTGGGGCCCCGCTGTCCAAGGGTGACCCTTCAGCTGACATCTGGGGACGTTGCTAAGTAAATGCCCGACGTCCTCTGGAGAAGGCTGTGTCCCCCAGCAGCCATCATTCTCTGCACACGTGTGTGCGCATGCGCGCCCGTGGTGTGCCACTGTCTCACTTTCTCTTTTTATCCCCCCAATCCCTCCCTTTGTTTGTTTCCGTTGTCTCTAAATCTCCCTAGCCCGCACCCAAAAATGCAGAGTCCCTGCTACACAAAACTCTGCCAGTTTTAGGAAGTGCTGCTTTGTCAAGAGCCTACACACCAGATCCTAGCAGACAGGACTTCCTCCCCACACGGGGCTGGGCGGGGCGACCCGGAAGGGGCCTGATGTAGCTGAGGTGACACCTCTCTGCCTGGCCAGCTCGAGCAGCAGCTGGCTCAGCAGGCGACAGGAGCACAGGCCACCCTTCCTCAAGGCCTCAGAATGGACTTGTGCCACCCAGGTAAGCACCTGGGCCCTCTCTGGGCCTCAGTTGCCTCTTCTGTAAGATGGGGACAATTGTGCTTGCTTCGCAGGACCCTGGGAGGAATCAATATGTAAATAGATATAAGGTGGGAAAGGCAGAAGCATGCAATGAATGTTTATGAGCTCAAGCTGGGGGCCAAGTTGTGCTCCAAGAGCTGGGAGTGCAGTGAACAAAGCAGGCCCTGTCCCTGCTCCCATGAGCTCACGCTCTAGCGGGGGAGACTGTCAGGAAAGGTATTAATGTAATATGTCAGGAGGTGACAAGCAGGAGGAAGAACAGTCAAGGAGGGTAAGGATGATGGAGAGGGTGCTGGAGAAGGCCTCAGAAGGAGGCACCATTTGGGCAGAGACCTGGAGGGGGGAGGGAGTGATCTATATGGGTTTCTGGGGAAGGAATATTCCAGGGGGAAGGGACAGCAGTGCAAGAGCTGAGGATGATAATGTTGGTGACAATGGCTGTCTGGGTGGCACAAGGGTCCTCAAGCTCCTGTCTAGCCTTTGAGGGTGGGGAGGCTGAGGGCAAGCCTAGAACGCTGGTGGAGGCCAGGGAGGAGCAGCGGAGACCCTCCCCAGTGAACAGGAGCATGTCCGGGGGAAAGAGGAGAGGTGTCTACGCAGCTGGTAGGGGAGACAACAGGATCCTGCTGCGTTTCTGCAAGGCAGGGAGAAGAGGGACAAAGCCTCTGTGCCCTGCAACCAGAATATCCCAGCATTGCCTGGAGATCCAGGAGACGAGGCTGCTGGGAGCTGTCCAGTCCCCGAGCTTCAGATGGCATCCACCCCGTTAGCAAGAGAACCCTTTCTTCCAACAAAACCAAAGGCAGAGCCGTGTGACCCCGCCCCCCGGCCTCCCTGGCTCCGCAGGCTCTGGGGAACACACAGAACCACCCATCCCTTCAACCCCGTTTGGGCTTTTGGTGGCAGGTGGCTCACAGACTGGACGGGCTCCGTGATATGTCATAGGTGGCGACCAGAAGGCAAGAGGGGACCCAGTGAGGAGCAGCACCTGGCTCCTCCCATATCGCCAGATGGGAGGTGATAGGAGACACTGAAGTCATGGAGCCCACACTGCCTGTCTTCCCACCATTATTACTTTGCTCTCACAGCCCGAGGTCCTTCAGAACAGGGAGGGTCGTCTCCATAAAGAGGAAATGGAGGTGAAGTGGACGAGAGGGCTGACTTGCCTGTTAGTGGCCAGGGACGTGAACCTGAGCGGAAAGAGAGCAGGGGTCAGCCCGGGCTGTGGGAGGCTCCGGGAGACCAAGAAGGTGGGCTGCCACTTTGCTTTAGGCTGGCCCTGGGTGGGAGTGGGTTGAGGAAGGTCAATGCAGGCGGTCTGCTGGGAGATTTGAGATCTCCATGGATAGGGTCATTCATTCATTCATTCACTCATGCTGCAAACAGTCCTCCGGTGTGCAGGTCCTGTGCCGGCTGAGCTGTGCCAGGACAGTGGGGACCCAGCTGTGGGGGGAGCTGCTGGTCCAGGATGCGGGGGGAGGGGGAGACAGATCCTGCAGACAATGACCCAGGGCAGATGAGGAAGCGACTTCTTCCACCTGGGAGGGGGGGGAACAAGCTGGGAAAACTTCCTGGAGGAGTCAGAGGGAGGGAAGGAAGGTCATCCCCCATTGTCCAGAGTGGGTCTTAATCAAAGCTCCTCCCCAGCCAGGTGACTTCCCTCTCTGAGCTCAGATTCATCATCCATAAGGGCCCCTCCACCCCCAGTCTGAGCTGGGAAAGTAGGGAATGATTGGGGGGTGGGACTCACCCCACCTGGCTAGGGGCCCAGCTCTGCACCAACCCACCAGTGGTCATGATGGGCCTTTTATCCTCTGTGGGCTCTGCTTCCTCACCTCTGCCATAGACAGGATGGGGCCGGGCTCCCCCAGGACAACCTGGCCTCCTCCAGCTTGTCCTGCCAAGAAGCAGATCAAGCCCCCTCCCCCAGGGCCTGCTGGGAAGCTGAGAGGTCCAGGCAGCAAAGCCCCTACGTGACCAAAGACAACAACTTGGGGTTGGTGCAGCGAGGCTAGGGTGCAGTTAAAAATAGAGACAGCTTGGTTCTGGGGGTGGGGAGGAAGCCACACGGGCGCCCACAGAGCCTCAGGGGCTGGGGCGGAGCCATTCCGCCAGACACCCCCTCCTGCCTGGGTGCCCCTCACGCCGGAGACTCTGAGGCGCCTCTGCCCCCCAGGGGGGGCCCCAGGAGAACACCCTCCTCTCACCCTGGAAAGCGGAAGCAAGGCCAGCTGTCCTGGAAGCCAGGCTGCAAGCAGAATGATTTCTAAAAATATGATGGGAAAGAGGAAGGACAAAGGGGAAGCAGGGAGGAGTTGGGGAGGTGGTCGGGGTGGGCCCCCGGGCACTCCCCGCAGCCTGGGCACGGGTGCAGAGGGCAACCACAGCCTGCAGCAGACGTGGGCTCAGTCGTCCAAAAGTGGCCCTTGTGAGGCCTGAAAATCAGAGTCAAGCTGAGGAGTCAAGTGAGTTCATGGTGGTGGCTATTGTCCTTCTCATGTTATTATTGTTTGTGTTTTATCACTATTGTCATCAAAACCCATTCTCACTGGTTTGGGATGGTATCTCATTGTGGTTTTGATTTGTATTTCCCCGATGGCAAGTGATGCAGAGCATTAGGGTGACTGGATGACAGGCACTAAGGAGGGCACTTGCTGGGATGATGGGAGCACTGGTTGTTATACTATATTTGGCAAATCAAACTTCAATAAAAACAAATAGAAAAAAAAAAAAAACACCTCCAAGGCTTGAAACGCCAGCATCACCCGGCTGGGAATCAGAAATGGCCCTCTCACTCTATGTCCCTGTCACCCCCCACTCACTCTGTGTCCTTGGCACCCTCCCCGAACCATCTGGACCCTCTGCGCTGAAATGCGGAGGAACCCCAGTTTTGAGACAGGTGAAGGGTCCGAAGGCCCCGCGCTCCACAGGACAGTTGCAACAGCACCGGGGCCACCTGTTGGGGTCAGAATCCTGTCAAGGTAACAGGGCCCTGGGAGGATTCATGGACACATCCGTCAAGCCACAGAAGAAGCCCTATGGAGACGGAATGCCAACAGCCCCTCCTCCCTGCCCCCGCCATCCTGCCATCCTGAGGACACGTGGGCCCGTACCTGTGCTTCTGTCCCCCCAGCTCTAGGAAGTTGGCTTTGTTTTCTCTCTCACCCCCCAGAAAGGGAAAGAGGAACAAACCGTAGGCATCATTCCACATCCGGCCTTCATTTTCAAACAGGGAGCCACGGTCAGCATTTCCATGTCAGGACAACCAGGGCTAGTGTCTGATGGGGTTTCAATGATTTGCATGAAAATATCTGGCATCAGACCATCATCAGCATCATGGGTGTGGCCTTGGAGTCCTAGCTGGGCCTGGGGGTGACTCCCAGCTCCACCACCTTCCAGCTGTGTCACATCAGGCTGGCCACTTGACCTCTCTGAGCCTCGGATACCTCATCTATAGAATGAGACCAGATGTTCCTTCCTCCAGAGCTGTCATCAGGATCAGACGGGATAGACAGAAGACGGCAAGAGCCTGGAGCGCCTAGTAGGTGCTCGAGCAGTGAGCCACCCTCTAAGGGACAGTGCGGCTTGTTTGTTGAGCAAATCTCGGAGCTGTCCACGAAGAACTGTCTCCAGAACTGCTGCGGGGACAGGAGGGACCCGAGGGAGAGGCCCAGACGCTGCACGGGAGGGCACCTAAGGGGGATGAGCGGGAGCTACAAGGTGGAGGGGAGAAGGAAAGGCATTCCAGACGTGGGGAACAGCAAGCACACAGGCCCTAGGACCAGGCGCACTGGGAGCAACCAGAGGACTCCGGGAGGCCTCAGGCCTGGCACAGGATGGTGCCGTGTGAGCTGAGGATGGGGGCGAGCCCGTGGGATGAGAGGGCCCTATAGACCTGGGGTCTTGTCCCCAGAACAATGGGATGCCGTGGGAGACTGGATTGGAGGTGCAGAGGGGAGGCAGGGAAACACGGGGATGCCCTGCAGTCACCCAGGGCCCCACCTGTGGTCTGCGTGCAGGTGGGGCAGTGGGAAAAGGTGACGGACAGGGCATGGCTTGGCAGGGGGGAGACATGAGGGCAAGAGAGAGAAAGAGAGACAGCTGCGTGTCAACATGCCTCCTGGGCTCCTGGCCACTTCCAGGAGCTGTGAGGATTAAAAGGCATAATTTATGCTGTGCTGCTGGCATAAAGTAGGTGTTTTTGATCTGACGTTTGATGGGACCCTTGCGTTGTCTCCTGGTACAAATGACACCAGGATCTTCCAGCCAGCCGAGCTCAGAGTTGCAGGGACAGAGATGAAAACACCCAAGTGGGTCACTAGGAGGAGGGTACACGGAGCCTTTCCTCATTTCTGGGTCCATGTCAGTGACCTTTGGGGACAGAACACTATCTAACAGTCATATCTTACATCCTGGTACACGGTGCCCCATCCGAGCAGGATATTGGCTCCAAGCTGACACCTCATCTGCACCTTCCAGAAGCTGCTCCATTGCTCCATCAGGCCGGCAGCTTCTGGTGGTGAAGAGTCGGTGAGGACACTTCCTGGCCGGGGCTCTGTGGGAAGTAAGGGCCACTGCGTGTCCAGAGTACGTGTGGCTTCCAGTCAAGATGGATCACTGGCACCAACACTGGGCCGGTTGGTCAGAGACTGGCTGAGGTCACCAGCCGGGTCATTCCATCTGCTTGGTGGAGCAGGCCCTCTCCTGTGGTGGGTGGTTGCTGGGGAACGTTAGTGTGCTTCACAAAAATTTTCACCCCCCAGGGACGCCTGGGGGGGCTCAGTCGGTTAAGCATCTGACTCTCGATTTGGGCTCAGGTCGTGATCTCAGGGTCGTGGGATCAAGCCCCACATTGGGCTCCATCCTCAGTGGGGAGTCTGCTTGAGATCCTCTCTCCCTCTCCCTCTGCCCTTTCTCTCTCTCTCTCTCTCTCTCTCTGTCTCTCAAATAAATAAATAAATAAAAATCTTAAAACAAAAAATCTTCCCCCTCCGTGTCCACTCCTGAGGGACCATCCACTAGCTCTTCCCCCAGACCTCTCTGCTCCTGATCTTCCAATCTTATTTCTTCTTTCCAGCCTCTGACTGAGAAGTCAAGCCATCCTCTCCTGGCCCTCGTTAACCTTAAAAAATAAAACTGCCAGTTCTTTTTACCAGCAAAGATGGGTTTATTCCAAAATAGTACAGAACTGTGATCCAGGATAAGCAAGCTACGGCCAAACCCCAGGCTAGTCCACAGAACAAAGGAGAGGAGGCTCTTTCATGGAACTCAGGGGAGTTGGAAAGGCTGCTATGAACAGTCCAGTGGAGCTAACTGGGAGCTTGAGGCGAAGTGGCTCTTCATGGGCTGAGCTGTGACTTTCCCATTCCCTGGGCTGTTGCCGAGGGAAGAGAAAAGCTTCCTTCCTCCTGCTGGGAGAGTAAAGTAGGAGCTGAAATCTTTCCCACTTGCAAGGAGCATGTCCCCACCTCCAACCCCCCCATTGCATCTGGAGTTGAGGAGGAGTGGTAGTGTGTGAGAGCTCCCCCTGCTGGCCTTCGGGCTTCCTTATAAAAGACTTTTTTTTTTTTAATTAATTTTCACACCACCTACGCCTGTGTATCCTTACTTGGCACCACTGCTCTTTGCCCACGAAATGGATGAGCAGGTGCTCCTCCACGGTTCTGCCCTTGGGAGGATTTCTCATCTCTGTCTCTCCAGGACACCTTCGAACAGGACTGTGGTTCAATAGCTATCCAGTTTTTACTTAGCCCCAAACAGGAAGCCACTCATTCCGGAACCAAGTTCAGGTGTTTTGCTCCTTTGCTAGAAAGATCCCAAGGGACCTACCGATGTGTGACATAGTGTGTGTAGACATAGTGTGAGATGAGGGGCCTGGGTGACCTGTCCATGGTGCCTACTGGAGCCCTCTGGGTCTGTTCACACCTGTGGAGAGTGAATCACTTATGAAGGATTGTGCTCATTTGACTTTATGACTCAGTGGGTCACACAGACCAACCTTGACTGCTTGGCCAAGGCAGTCATTATCAATGTATCATTATTGTATATAGTTGCCCCAGCATTACAGGACCCTTTGTTCTGGAGACCCAGCTTCCCCTTCAGTCAACAGGGTCTGGGTCTGAATACTGGTAGAGGTCCATACACTAGGCAAAAGGTCTTGGCTTTTCACGAGTGGGCTGTCCTTTGGGAGGGGCATATCCTTGGGTGAGGCACCTCCATTTGGCTGAGTTAAGCTCCTGGGGAAGAACTCAGCTGTGACAGCAGCAAACCACCCCCCAACCCCACCCCCAGCTCCAAGAGAATGGGTGCCTTGGTCCTGAAGGGGAGAGCTGATGGCACAACATGGCACCCGTTATACATGTGTTGGGCGCCCCCTGTATACTGAATACCTGCTTTGTGCCTCCCCATCTCCATACCCAGTTTCCATCACAAAGCCCAAGGTGGCTCTCAGTCAATGAGAAGGAAGGGTAGGGAAAGGGAGACCTGAATAGTCTCTCTGCTTTCATTTGGGAGGGATAATATCTATCCTCGCAAAATCTTAAAGAAATGGGACCAGGTATTCCCTAGAGCTAGGACTTAAAGAGTTGGGGAGCATGTGGACAGCAGACAGGAGAAGGCATCCCAGGGTGGAGGAGCTGCAGAGGCCAAAGTGGGAAACAAGATTGAGAGACAGTTTGGGGACAGTGAGGAGCAGGCAGGCTGGACTTTCAGGTGCTTTCTGAGAATAGTGGGGAATAAGGCTGGGTAGGGAGGCCAGGACCAAATGAGAACTTTGTCTCTAAGTAATAGGGAGTCTGTGGAGAGTTTTTGATCAGGTGAATGTTGTGGATGGAACAGGAAGCACGATGGGTTAGAGGTGCGTCAACTGACCCCAGGGTGGGAATTGTCATAGCACCTTTCACAGAATACCAGCACCCATGTGTCTCCTTTAATTCATTTCTAGGCAATGAGGAACAAACCCAGGCTTTGTAGCCTGCCCAATCCAAGTTCCTCTCTGGCTCAACAGCTTGTCCTGTGCAACCCTGGTCAGGCCACCTCATCTCTCTGAGCCTCAGTGTCTGGGGCAGGAACTATGAATTGTCTCCCTAAACCCAGTCTCCCCATCTTACGTAGTAAAGGTATCAGGACCACCATACTAAAAGCTCATTTCCTAGCTTCCCTTGAAGCTGGGTGTGGTCATATAGCTCCATCTGGCCAATGGCATAAGAGGCAAAATGATACACCACTTCCTGGTTGTGCAAATAAATAAGTGGATAAGTGATAAACAGGTGATCTAGGGAAAGAGTACATGAAAGTCCCAAGGAAGGATAAATGCAAGTATTTTGAGTACTGCCTATCTGTCGGGCTCTTTCTAGGGGCTGAGGATGCAGCAGTGAGCAACACTGAAGTGCCTGCTTCCGTGGTGCTGGGAGTACAATGCGTAAAACAGAAAATATGCAAATAGGGGCGCCTGGGTGGCTCAGTGGTTGAGCATCTGCTGCCTTAAGCTCAGGGTGTGATCCCGGGGTCCTGGGATTGAGTCCCACATCGCGACTCCCCACAGGGAGCCTGCTTCTCCCTCTGCCTGTGTCTCTGCCTCTCTCTGTGTGTCTCTCATGAATAAATAAATAAAACCTTTTTTTTAAAGATGCAAATAAACAAGATGGTTCCAGGGAGCCTGTACCCAGAAGGTACCAAGTTTGGTTGAACAGGAGGATGGAGGAAAGGCTTGCTTTTGAGGGGGTAGTCAGAGAAGGCCTCCTGGAGGAGGTGACATCTGGGCTAAAGCCTGGGTGACGAGGGCAAGGAAGCCATGGTTTTCTGGAGGGAAGAGGGCCCTGGGGAAGCAAGGGCTGGCCTGTGTGGCTGGAGCCGAGTGGTGGAGGGGACAGTGGTGAATGGGCCAGTGACGGCAGCTTCTTCTCTCTCCAGACCCAACGGAGCTGAGCAGCGGGGAGACAGAGGAGCTGCAGCGGATCAAGTGGCACCGGAAGCAGCTTCTGGAAGACATCCAGGTGTGTGTACACCCATGTTCATGCTGACATTCCCTCCAAGCACACCCACCCACGCACACACCCTCCCACAGCGCACACACCTCCCCACTCACCCCTGACCCGAGACTGGTCGGACAGGGGGGCCGGACTCCAGCCCGCACCTCAGTCCCGGCCCCCAGGAATGGGGAGACCAGAATCCCAGGGGGGGATTCCCCACTGCCAGGCCCAGCTACCAGGATCTGGAGAGAGCCAGGAGCATGGGGGAGGGAGGAAGGGCAATAGGCGAGGCAGCTACTGTGTGCTGAGCCCCACCCGGTGCTCTATACACTTCACGGCACAGCAGGTTCTACTCCCGTCAGCTCTCATCTCTACGCTGGGCCTTAGTTTCATCCCCCTAAAATTTAAACCATTTCGTCAAGATAACACCAGTATGTGCCAAGCACTTGCCAATGCACCAGTTGCTCAGACGTTTCCTCATCGTATTCTTAGCAACCCCTGAGGCAGGCCGTGGTTCTGTTCCTGGAAATGTGCTGAGCTCAGTCCTACCCCTGGGCCTTTGCATCACACACATGTGTCCACATGTCCACACACACGCAGAACTCAAAATCCCATTGTCTGGGACTCTCCCAAGTTCTCTCTGTGGCACCTCCTTCTCATTACGTCATTGTCAGCTCGAGTGCCACCTCCTAAAGACTGCCCTGACCCACCCCTGGCTGTGGCTAGGACCCCACCCCTACTCCCCACCCCTATATACCTGAGAAAGCAGAAGATACAAAGTCATTCACTCAGCAACTATTTTACTGAGACCTACCATGTGCCAGGCTCTCCTTATACCATAACTCAGATCATTTTATTTCTTTTTTATTTGAGTATAATCGACACACAATGTTCCATTATCTTCAGGTACCACATGGTGATTGGACAAGCCTGTCCCTTACACTGTGCTTGCTCAAGTGTAGCTACTCTGATCTTTTTTGCCCACTCATTTCATTTGCCCATGAGCACCATGATCCCAACCCCACCATGAAAGCTTGGGTTTCTCTTGCCCACCACCATATCCCCAGCTCAATAGTCAGAGCACAGTAGGTGCTCAATTAACACTTGCAAGTGAATCGTGGGGAAGCTGCTCAGTGACTTGGCCAAGATCACATGGACAGATGCTGACTGGGCTCAGGTATCGTCTCCAGGCCCCACGCTGCCCCTGGGGTCCCAGACAAGCCTGGGGATCACTCTCACCCCAGAGATTCCAGTGGAAGATGAGGAAGGGCTGGGTGGGCTTTAGGGGCTCTTGCCAGGTGCTCATGGTGCAGCCTTGAAGAGGAAGCTGGACAGGTGCCCCTCTGCTGTCTGCCCAATGGTCATGGTTGGCGGAATTAGAGGGTCCTCTGCCCCGGAGGTTTAAGGGGCGTGGGGAAGACATGGACTTGGAACGAGGCCTTGGACATGTCACTTCACCACCCTGTACTTCAGTGTCCTCTTCGGGAAATCCCACTGGGATTACAAGGTCCCTGAGAAGGTGGCCTTACTGTCTGACACCCTGGTATACCCATAGCTCCTGCCACAGAGCGAGGACCAAGTCAAGGGCAAGTGACAGAGTAAATGGATGGGGAATGGAAGCCAGAGAGGAGTTGGAGCCTAGTCTGAGGTGGGGAGTTCGAGCCCCTTGGCTGGGGAGGCAGTAGGGAGCCACAGAGGGAGTTGGGAAAGGGTGGGCTCCAAGCTGTGCTTCAGGAAGCTGGCACCTGGTGGAGGAGGGCTTGTCGAGTGGGTTCAGTTAAAGGGCAGACGACCTCACAGCTGCAGAGGGGAAATCGAAGGCTGGAAATAGAGTGGGGCGAAAGGTGGGCCTTGGGGACTACCTCCCCCAAGACAGGAGCCTGCGGAAATTGGGTATAAACAGGCAACAGGTTGGCATGGGATTGTGAGGATAAGAAACATCTGGGAAAGGGATCTACAGGGGTAGGGTCTCTCAGTGGAGTCAGGGGTCATGCCCAGGGGTGGAAGTGGTTGTGAGGGGGTCAGGAATCCCCTTCCACCCCAGCCTCCGTCCCTGACTCTCCTACCCTTCGTGCCCCCTGCCACCCCACAGAAGCTGAAAGATGAGATCGCAGATGTATTTGCCCAGATTGACTGCTTCGAGACCACGGAGGAGAGGTGAGGGGCTAGGCCAAGGGCCCCTGGGAAGCTGCCACACACCAGGAACCAGCATGAGGGAGCAGGGGCCATGCCTGGGCCTGGGGCCCTGGTGAAGTCAGGGGTCCGCCTGGAGGAGGAGGCGGTGGAGACAGGATGGAACAGGGAGGGCCCTAGACTCCACCACGTGGTCTGGCCTGGTCCGCACTTCCAGCAGCCCCCTCTCTTGGGAGACACCTCCTCCCTCAACCCCTCCACACAGAGTCTCTCCCAACCCACCCTGACCCAGACAGTGATCAATTGTCAGCCAGGAGTATCATGAGAACTCAGCCCTGAGGAGGAGGAGGAAGAGCCAAGGCCTCACGGGGACAGAGCCTGGCCCATGGCAAGGCCAAGGCTGGAGCACCTCACCGCCCCCCCTAGGGTGCCATCCACTGCCCCTGCTATGGGGAGAGTCCCACTGGCTCTGTGACCTGGGGTGGGTCCCTGCCCCCCAGTTGGGCCTCAGTTTCCCCACTTGTGGGGCACCTTGGTGGCTTAGTCAGTGAAGCGTCTGCCTTCAGCTCAGGTCATGATCCTAGGATCCAGGAATGGAGCTCCACGTTGGGCTCCCTGCTCAGTGGGGAGTCTGTTTCTCCCTCTCTCTCTGCCCCTCCTCCCCGACTGGTGCTCTCTCGTAGTCTCTCTCTCAAAAAAAGAAAGAGATAACTCTGGTCCCTACGTAATTCCCTAAGGCCCCAGGCACTGACTCCTACATATGTGTCTCAGGAAATCACACCCTGCTCCCACCACCCCCTGGTCTCCAATGCCTCTGGTCACCATTTGAGCCCGACACCCCTCACATGCACGCAGGCAAACATGGGCACGCGCATGGCTGCCCTGCATCTCCAGGTGCCCTGTTCCGGCTCCAGCAACAGTATCACACTTACGCAGCACCTACCACCAAGCTGTTTTGAACTCTTGAACCTCTCAACAATGCTGGGAGGCATGGGATGGTTTCATCCCCATTTTAGAGATGAAAAAACTAAGTCCCCTGAGATAAAGTGATTTGCCTGATGTGGCTCAGCTAACAAAGCAGTGCAGCAGGATTTGCACCAGGAGCCCGGCCCCAGAGCCTGTGCCCTCACCCCCAGCCTCCCTGTAATCCTGCCCCCACTTGGAGCACAGGAGCCCTTTGAATGCTTTCCCTGGTGGGCAGCTCTGGGTTCCCAGGGCCCATGGGAAGAGTCTGATTTAGTAGCTCTGGGAGGGGCCCGGACTCTGCATGTCTCAAGCTCTCTGGGTGCAAGGACCCAACTTGGAGGTTCTTGGGGGAAGCTGGCTCTAGCTGAGAAAAGCATCCTTGGGCATTGAGGGGGAGCCCTGGGGTCCTAGGGGCAGTCCAGACTCACATCTTTGTGTCTGCAGCCGGTTGGCCCAGAAGGAGAAGGAGCTATGCATTGGGCGTAAGAAGTTCAACATGGATCCCATGAAGGTAGGCAGTTGAGGGGGACTCGGGGGTCATGGGGCTGGGGGAGCTGCGTACTGGACCCCTTCACAATGTCCTCCTGTTGCCCTCAACTGACCATTACCCACCTTACAGATGAGGAAACTGAGGCCCAGCCGAGCCCAGTACCCCATCCAGTGTCCACAGCCTGTCATGGCTGAAGGACTGTCACCCCAAAGCATAGCGTGAGGTGGGAGCCAGGAGGACGTGGGCACATTTTGTGAAGCCCACCAACCTGGAGTCTCCTGGCCGAAGCCTCTGCTTCCTCCTTTGTGAGTTGGTCTTTGGACAGTGGGGCCCTGAGATTCTGGGGCTCAGTGCCCCGAAGTGTCTTCCAGCCTCTCTGCTGGGGGCAGCCAGTCTGGGGGCGCGGGCAGGAAGCATGGAGGGTTCAGGGCTTGGCCCCTGCTCGGCCCTCCCTCCCCCACCCAACTAGGTGGCAGCCAGTTCCCTTCCTGCTGGAACAAAGACCAGAGGAAGCCAGAGCTGACACACAGAGGTGGGGTCAGGGCAGCCAAGGGGTCCCTGGAAATTTACTGCTCTGGCTGAGACGGCTGCCTCTTCCTCATCAAGTGACACAGGCTCACAGGGTCACACACCCACGCGCCTTCTGCAGCCTCAAGACCATCACACGGAATACACACCCGCACGCAGGTGGATGTGTGCACATGGGCCACCAGAGCACCGGGAGGGGCCCCCGAGGGGTCCCCAAGACCCTCTGCCAGTCACTGAGAGGCCCCCCACACCCTGCCCCCCTTCTCCCAGCAACGTCTTCCCCGGGTCAAGTGGGACACGAAAGGGCCCTCACTGAAAACCAGAGCCCGACCCCCCAAACTCCCAAAATTAGAAGGACCGATTCTGAGTGCCTGAGCTGGGGAGGAGAGGTGTTAGTGACATCATCAAGTCAGAAAAGCGGTGTCATGTACAAAGGGAAGGAAAGTTGTCACAATGGACACTGTCTCCCTCGGAAAGCTGCCACAATGGACACTGTCTCCCTCCCTCCCCATTGTGGGACCTGGCAATTTCCTCTCCTTTTGATTTAGCTGGGGTTTTTTTTTTTTCTAGTTTTTATACAATGGACATAGATTACTTGTGAGAAAAAAAAAGAAACACTATTTTTAAATAGATGAGTATTAAGGGGACAAAAGAAGTGTCTGAATCATTGACTCTTAAAATTATAAATTCATGGAATCATTGAAGCATATAATCCAAGAGTTCAGACTGAAGGAGACCTGGGGAGCACGTGGCGTGAACCTGGCTCATTGCTGAAATGCTGTCTCTCTTCGCATGCCTCTAGTGGCGGGGAACTCACCACCGTACAAAGGCAGCGTCTACTAAGGAGGGACACAAAGTCTCAGAACAGTCGAGGCCAATGTCAGGATGCCAGGCCCCTGTACCCCACCCACCGCCTGGTCCCCTCCCTCCCTCCCCTCAGGCCAGCTGCTGTGTGGGGGCTGATGGTGGGCTCTGTGCACCCCCCTCCAGGGCATCCAGTACCTCATCGAGCACAAACTGCTGACCCCCGATGTCCAGGAGATCGCCCAGTTCCTGTATAAGGGTGAGGGCCTCAATAAGACAGCCATCGGCACCTACCTGGGGGAGAGGTAAGGTGGGGCATGGCCTCAGGGGGATAGGGATGAGGGTGTGCAGGTGCACACAGGTGAGTGTGTGTGTGTGTGTGTGTGTGTGTGCAGGTAAATGAGGGAGTGAATTATGTTAGGGAAGTCATAACTGTTGGACTTGAGCCGGCTAACTGATCACTCCCTCCACCTCCAAGCCTGGCTTCCTTCCTTTCTTTATTCACCCATTTGTTCAACGAATAAATATTTTTTAGTATCTGTTGTGTGCCAGGCAGTGTCCAATCCCCAGATTTATATTAGTGAACAAGGCAAAAACTCCTGCCCTCAGGGAGAAGCATTCTAGTGAGAAAGACAGATCCCAAACTATGTAATGTATGTTAGAAAATTGTAAGTTCTGTGGAATGCGAATAAAGCAGGGAAGGGAGATGAGAAGCATGGGGAATGGCAGGTCATGGACTGTGACTTTAAAAACTGTGGATAGGAAGGGTCTCATGGAGAAAGTGATGTTGGACGCTTAAAAGAGGTGAGCAGTGAAGACATCTGGGGGAGGAGCATTCCAGACAAAGGGAACAGCAGGTGCAAAGGCCCTGGGGCAGAAACATGCTCAAGGAATAGCAGGCTGGTGAGATTAGAAGAGACCAAGGGAGGGAAGAAGTAGTAGGTGACAAGGTAGGGCCGCATGGGTGGGTTCTGGGCAGAGAAATGGTGAGCAACAACCCCTTTGGCTGTTGAGAGTGGCAGGTGGGCTGCAGGTGACAAGGGGTGAGCTAGTGCAACAGCCCTTCTCCCAGGCCCCCCAGTGAACACATTCCTTCTCCTAAGAGAGCGAGAGATGCAGGTGGCAAAAAAGGATGGAGCTTCCAGATTTGACCTGGGAAGAGGGAAGGAAGAGATAGGAGCAGGCATGGTCGGTCTCTCCGTTTTACAGCTGAGGACACTGGGGCTGGGGGAGGTCCTCCAGGCAGGAAGTGACACAGCGAAGGCTGCTGCAGAGCGGGAGCTCCCCTCGGAGTGAGAATGGGGCTGGCGAGCCATGGGGGCCTGGGGGGTGGGATGATGTGGGATCAGAGGGTGTGAATGGACTGGAAGGTGCTGGATCAGGAAGGAGGACCGGAGGAGGGTCCAGCAAGTTCCCAAGTGCCTATGCCCTCCTTCCTGCCCTCTCCAGGGATCCCTTCAACCTGCAGGTCCTCCAGGCCTTCGTGGACTGCCACGAGTTTGCCAACCTCAACCTCGTGCAGGCCCTCAGGTGAGTGGTCCAGAGAGGAGGAGGCGGCAGCTGGGGAGGAGCAGCCTGGGGGAATGGGGGGATGGGGGGGATCAGGAGAGGAGAGCTGGGCAGGGGGCAGCTGAGAGGGGGGCATCCTGGGGGTAGGGGGGGATCAGGAGAAGAGAGCTGGGCAGGGGGCAGCTGGGAAGGGGGCATCCTGGGGGTAGGGGGGGATCAGGAGAAGAGAGCTGGGCAGGGGGCAGCTGGGAAGGGGGCATCCTGGGGGTAGGGGGGGATCAGGAGAGGAGACCCAGGCAGGGGGCAGCTGGGGAGGCAGGGGGATCAGAAGCCACACAGGTTAGTGGCACAAACACAGCATCAGGAGCCAAAAGGAGGAAGCAAGGAGCAGGAACTCTTGCTGAGCATAGCCACCCCGCGGGCAGAGGTCAGGCGGCTCGTGGGTGTGCCTCCCGGGTGCCCCTCGGGTTATTACATTGCGTCATTATAGCCTAACAAGCGTGCTTGTTACTGCTACTTCTGCCCACCCCACACTCTTGAGCTCAGTGTTTTGTGTATTTTATTAATACAGCATAGTAGGTCTTCCCTTTACTATTACATATTAAACTCTGGAGCCGGACTGCCCGGTTCATATCCCAGCTCTATGACTCACCCCTGGGGCAAGTCTCACACACAAACATACACACACACACACACACACACACACACACACACAAACTCTCTGTCCCTCAGTTTCTTCATCTGTAAAATGGGAATAATAAAAATACCAAATTAGGGGCACCTGGGTAGCACAGTCAGTTGGACATCCAACTCTTGGGTTAAGCCCAGGTCATGATCTCAGGGTCCTGAGATTGAGCCCCACATCGGGCTCTGCACTCAGCAGGGAGTCTGCTTCTCCCTCTCTCTCTGCCTCTCTACCCCATTCATGTTCTTGTTTGTGTGCTCTCTCGCTCTCTCTCGTCAAATAAATAAATAAAAATCTTTTTAAAATAAATGACTAATAATAATAATAGTACAAAATCCATAGGGCTGTAGAACCAAACAGAAAGTACTTAGAATTGGCTTAGCAAGTCTTACTGCTATGGGTCATGCCTGGAAAATCAGCTCCTGAACGGGGGCATTTGACCTGGGCTTTGAAGGATGAATAGGAGTTTGCAAGGCAGAAAAGGAAGAAGCCACCACCATCCAAGCAATGTGGGCTTCCCTCCAATTCCCATTCTCTTTAAGGGAGAGGGGGAGGTGGTTGGGAGTCTCCAATATCCATTCCTTCCTTCTTTTCACTCATTACCAAGCAGCCCATGAGTGCCCTGGGCCGAGATGAGACCCAGCTGGAGATGTGAGGGGAGCAGCACAGACAGTCCTTGCCCTTGAGGAGCTAAGTTTGAAGCTCTGGAAGTGCTTAGGTTTGAAGGACAGGAAGTCCAGGCAGGAGGTGGCACCTGCCCAATGGTCCCCAGTCAAATCCCAGGGCAGACAGAGGCCCCCCTGGACGAGGCAGAGGGGACCACAAAGGGTGCTAGGTCCCAGACGGGCAGAGGGGAGCACACACTCCACTCCTGTAGTTGTTTTGTTTTTTTTTAAGCTTTATTTATTTATTTATTCATGAGAGACACACAGAGAGAGGCAGAGACACAGGCAGAGGAAGAAGCAGACTCCCTGCAGAGACCCCGAATGGGACTCGATCCCAGGACCCCGGGATCACAACCTGAGCCCAAGGCAAACACTCTATCGCTGAGCCACCCAGCTGCCCCACTCCTGCACTTTGAAAGCAAGGGCATCTCCCTGTGAGCCTAGCGACAGCGACAGACTCTCGCATTTAGAGGATAAAGACCAAAGCTCAGAGAGACAGAGCAGCTTCCCTGGGGTCCCTGGACCCCGTGGCCCCGAGATCTGCACCCGCCCCACTTCCCACGGCCCCTTTCCTCCCCCAGACAGTTCCTGTGGAGCTTCCGGCTGCCAGGCGAGGCCCAGAAGATCGACCGGATGATGGAGACGTTTGCCACCCGCTACTGCCTCTGCAACCCAGGCGTCTTCCAGTCCACAGGTGACTGTGTGGGAGGGGACCGAGGGCCACGGGACCCCTCGGGATCTGCAGGCACCATGGCCACCCCCCCCGGGGTCTCCCCACTCTCCACCCCAAGCATCCAGACTGTGGGAGCCCAGACTTCTTCACTGACAAGGCCCTCTGCTGGGTGCTTGTCAGGCAGAGCTGCCTCGGGGCACGGTCCTTGGGAGAGGAGGCAGGAAATAATGCACAGTACCCCCGTCTGAGGGCAGTGATGGGGGGTCGCAGATCCAGGACGGCTTCCTAGAGGCAGTGGAGGCTCACCAGGGTTTTAAAGGATGAATAGGAGTTCTCCAGGAGGTCAAGGTGGAGAAAGGACCTTTCAGGCAGGAGTTTCCATCTGAGCAAAGGCCAGAAGCAGGAAACACTCTGGGCAGGACACCGGGGGCCCAGGGTATAGAGAGACATCAACAAAGATGAGTACCCCAGACCACCACCCGGACCCCAGCAGGGCGGGCAAGAAGTCATCACGGCAGGCTTGTCCTAGCCTCCTCTCTGTACCTGAAGTTACCATGGCAACAATAACAAGCATTGAGCACTACCTGTGTGCCATTCACCTGTGCAAAGGCAGGTCATCCTTGCATCCATTCTGAGGTCAGCGATGTTCTCCTCTCTGCATGTAATACCGACTCAGAGGAGGGACGTGGCTTGTCCATGGCTGTGCGACCGTAGTCGGGTCCTACCTTGTAGTTATAAATAAATTGGGGGTGTGCTTGTCACCATCTGTCACCTCCACTAGCCTAAATACCCCATGGGGTAGGGACCATATCAAATCTATTCACCAACGAAGCCCCAGTCCATGGCACTTCACGGGGACCCAGTAAATATGTGCAGAAAGGACGGAATTTTAAAGCCCCCAGTTTGAATCACATTCTAACGACATGATGTTTGCGACCTCGGGCATGTAACGGGACCTTCTTGTGCTCCAGTTTCCTGCTCTGTAAGATGGGGTTAGTCACAAGGTCTCAGGGCGGCTGGGGAGCTCAGCCTAGCGCAGGCACCAGCCACTGTTAGATTGTTCCAGTGGGTATCACTGTTTTCAGAGGTAGGATCGTCGGTGTTCTAGGGCGTGAAGATACTTCAAGCTCAACCTAATAATGTCACAGATGGAGAAGCTGAGGAGGTCAGGTACTTTCCCAAGGGCCACCAGACAGTTGGGGACGCAGCTGGACCTGGCTGGCTCGGGACCCGAGGCCTAAAAATGCCCCCAGAGGAGCAATCCCCCCACCAAGTGCTCAACCCAGGCTCATCCCTCCCTGGGTGAGGTCTGAAGACTGGAAGGGGGGGAGCGGGGGGGGGAGCTCCGCCACACTGGCGAGATTGCCAAGCAGCATGTGACTAAGCCTTGAACAGTGTAGCCAACAATAAATGTCCTCCGAGTTTTGAGGAGGCAGAGAACAGAGTGGGCAGGGAGGCTGGGAGGGCTGGGGAGAGGCTGGAGCTGGAGCAGGAAGGGGAGGGTTGACATGGGGAGCAAAGGGAAGGGGCCTGCGTGCCTGGCAGGGGGCCCCACCACCACCCTGGCAGGAGCCAAAGTGCAGGCGGGGAAGGCGTGGGAGGGGCTCAGGAGCGTGGCAGGTGGCAGACCAGGTCTGTTTAGAGCAGGGAGGCCTGTGACACTGGGGAGGAGGCTGGGCCTCGAACACCCAGCTAGGACAGCACAGACCCCTTTGGGGCGTTGAGACAGGTGAGGCTTGGCCCCTGGAAGTGGGGTCAGGGCAGAGAAGGGGACAGTGACCAGGGCCAGGACTGTGACCGCTGTCCCGTCTCACAGACACCTGCTACGTCCTGTCCTTCTCCATCATCATGCTGAACACCAGCCTCCACAACCCCAATGTCCGGGACAGGCCACCCTTCGAGCGCTTCGTGTCCATGAACCGAGGCATCAATGACGGTGGTGATCTGCCCGAAGAGCAGCTTCGGGTAAGAGGGGCACAGCCACACCCGCCTGGTCCCAGGATCCGGGAGGGGCCCATCCTTAGCTGGACAGCCGAGAGGGGCTCCTCTGAGGTGGAGCACCCAGGTCGGCAGCCATCTCCAGACGGGCTACCACAAGGGGTTGGTCCCCAGAGGGGTGTTCCCGGTGGCCCTCATCGTAGTCCACCCAGGAGGTCCTCTCCGCCTTCACCCTTTGGGGGGACTCTGGGCACCCATCATTCGCACCTTCCAGAAGGGGTGCTTCACCCAACTCAGGTATACTGCTTGGAATCCCAGGTTCTTACACCCCGTCAGCATGTCAGAGGTGAAAGTCCTCAGGGTCTGCTAAAAGCCTTCCCTCCTTCAGAGAGGGGGAAACTGAGGCCTTCCACAAGGCAGCTCGTGAGCCAAGCAGAACACACACCTCCCATCTCTTCCTCAAACAGCCCCCACTGCTGCCACACTGCACTAGGCCGTGTGCCGGTGAGGGGTACCCTGGGATGAGTCAACCATGGGCCCTGTCCAGGCCGAGCTCAGGGTCTGGCGGGAAGATGATACACATGTGAGTTATAGCCCTGTGTGATTCATGTGGTGCTAGCTAGAGAACATAGCTACAGAGACGCAGAGGGCACTACTATCAATCTCCTCGGGGCAGAGAAGGGTGCCATCCTGGAAGACTTCACAGAGGAGGTGACTTTTGAACCGGGCCTTGAAGGTTGAATGGGAGTTTTCACAGAGTGAAACAGAGAAAGAACATTCCAGAAGGGGGGAAATAGCCAGAACCCAGGCCTCGCCTGGCTGGAAAAGGAGAAGCATCCAGAGTGGCTGGCTGAGGTTGTGGGGTGTGTGGCCAGGGACAGGGGGCACAGTGGAGCCGGAGCATCCAGGGCTTCCAATGACAGCCTCAGGAGCTTGCATGGTTAACCATGGGCAACACGGAGCTAGGAACAGTTTTGCAAACACAGGAGTGAGATTCAGAGCCTGGTGCAGCAGAAATGAACTGACAGCTGCGCCAGAGGAGGGGAGGAGAAGGAGGGAACCCCACCCTCCCGGCTGAGCACCCTGCGAGGTCTGCGGGAAGCCTGGGTCTGGAAGGACTCGGTGTCCCCCCTCCATGCTTGAGAACTGCCACGCCCTCAGCCCACCACCCTCCTTGGTCCCCAGAGGGGAAAGTTTATCATGGGGTGGGGGGAACCACAACACCGAATGAAGGCTTGAGAGCTGGTTAGAGCTCGAGTCAAATCCTGTCTCCCCTCCCTCCCCCCACCTTTGCCAGCCCGTGACCTTGAGGAATGACTCACCCACCTCTCCAAGCCACCATTCTCTCAACCAGGATAATGACGCCTGCGTCACGGAGCTGCCGGGAGCAGCAATTTGTAAAAATGTAAAGGGCATAGCCCATGCCAGGGACAGAGCACTGGCTCCAAATGGTGGCTTATGTCACTATGAAGAATAATTAATAATAATTTTAAAACCCTGGCGCTTAGTAAAATGCCCCAAATCTAAAATGCACTGGGGAGTCGGTAACTCATCTCATATGGTGCTGGTGGCAGGAGGCTGTCCTGGTCTGGCAGGTAATGAGTTAATGACACAACAACATTTGGGGCTCAGCACTCCCCCGCCCCCCCAGCCCTGGGCACCTCCCTCCCAAGGGTTTTTTCCTATTCAAGCCTTTTGTTAGTAACAATGCACTACATTTGTACAGAGCTTGTAACTTTCTAGGGCTTTAGGGTCTAGAATCTCAATTTAGCCTCACACTCTGCCTGGGAGGTCTGGGAAGGGTTTATTATCCTAGCGGGCAGCCGGGCAGCCGGAGAAGCAGGCGCAGAGGTGGGGGGAGAAGGGACAGAGCGTGGGAGTCACAGCCACATCCAAGTCCTGGCTTGCCCCCTCTCTGGTTGCGCGCCTTCTAGTAAGTGGCTTGACCTCTGAGCTCCCAGCTCTTAGGACTGGTGTAGAACCGTAAGGCGTTGAGCAAAATGCCTGTGTCATTAGAGTGACTAATTAATCCAGAAGCTTCCCAAGGGGCAAAGAGAACCACACAAGCCTGGTCCTTGCTGTTTAGGGCTTTTCCTGCAGAAGTCTGGGGCGGGGGGCGGGATGCCCCGGTGCTGTGTGGAATGGGGGGCACCTGCCAGCCTTCTCTCAGGGCCTCACCTTCCCTGTTTGTAAAGCAAGAACTCACCTTTACGCAGCTCCAGGTATTCAAAGTGGGCCTCTCTGTGGCAGGATTCCCTGTGCTGGCCCTGGAGCTGGGGCCCTGCCGAGGATCATAATGCTTTCAAGTGGGAGGGGGGCGCTGCAGGAGGCAGGGGGCGGCGGGCTGAGCCCCCTCCCCAGGCTGTCCTAATAGGGATGAGGCCCAATGCCTGAGAGACTCAGGGCCAAGGTATGCGGTGTGGACTCACAGGATGGGAGATCGCATCCCGGCTCGGCCCTTTCTGGCTGTGTGACCGTGAGCATGAGCCTCGGTTTCTTCACCTGCCAAGGGGGCAGGTGCCGCCGCCCTTGGGCAGCTCTCCTGAGAAGCAGAGGTAATGCGCTCAAGCTCCTGACGCTCGGCAGATGGCAGGGGCCCAAGAAACACCAAGAAGGGAACCACTCCCCTGCCCGGAAAGGGAGCTCCCGGTGGAAGAGGGAAAGAGGGGGAGGCCAAGAAGTGGGGCTCTCTGGCATCTGGTGTTACAGGTGGAGAAACTGAGGCTCAGGCAGGGGAAAAGTCTCCCAGGTCAGGGCATCTTCTGCTGCGAGCAGTCCTGGACCTCCTGGGTCCTTGTCCAAACGTCTCCATCAGCACTGACCACGTCCCGGGCCCAGCTGTGGCACTCCGTGTTCTCACTAAGTCCTCCTGACCCCCTTAAGCAGTGGGTACCAATCCCAGTTTCCAGCAAAGAAAACTGACCTCCAAGAGCGGTAGCTGGCCAGGGGTCTCATAGTTTGTGAGGACACTGGATTCGAACCCATGTCTGTCTGACTCCAGGGCCCTTCCTCCTGCAGAGACCAGAAGGCAAGGTTTTGTGATGGAGGACTTGGCCATGTATCCCAGCTACCCGTTGCTTTCTGGCCAAAGGAATCGCAACTCACGTAATGGGAAAGATCAGGGATCCATTTGGCTTCAGATCTTTGGGCTTCAGGCTCAGCTAGATCCAGGTGCTCAGTGAAGTCAGGACTCAATCTAGTGTCTCCAGCTCTCAGCAACCTTCTCCTCAACAGACTGTCTTCAAATTGCAGCAGAGATGGTCCAGGCAGCTTAGCAGCTAAAACTAAAGTCCCAGAATTAAGGCGTATTGGCTGGCTTGGGTCACATGTCCTCCCTGCACCAGTCACTGTGGCCAGCAGGAGGAAATGTCCTGCTTGGCCAGGTGGGAGTCGTTCCCTCATTCCTGGAGCCTGGGGGAAAGGCAGTAGGTGCCAACCCCCCCCCCCCCGAAACCTGGACAGAGAGTGTCGGGCTGAGTCGTCCCCAGAGAAGGGGGCGGAGGGGGTTGCGGTGCAGCGAGAGAGCCGGATACAAGACCAGCAGAACCGTTGGAAGGTGGCCTTGTCTTTCTGATCACAGTGCACCCAGCCAGGCTTGGTGGCCGCCCCACCGCCCGCCCGCAGGGGTGTTTACCTGCGGGGGAGGGCTGGCGTTTACAAGGGCAGGAACAGAGCCCAGACGTTTCCTTTGCGGAGGGGGTGAGGGGCAGAATGTGCGAGCTGATCGGCTCCCGGCACCCGCAGAAGTTGCCAGGGGGCCCCTTGTGGGTACCATGGAGGATGAGGCCGCCCCCCACCCCTGTCTGCCGCCCTGCTTGCCTCCTGGGCCTCCCAAATGTTTGTCTGCGCTGACAGCTTTGCTGACAAGGCCTTTCTGCCTCTGGCCTTTGTTCGACAGGCCAGCACATCTCGGGCCTTCCCAGAGCCCAGCTGGGCCTGGGCAGGAGGGGCAACAGGGCTTCCCAGATGCGCTAGAGGTGCAGGGGCTCCCCCAAAAGAGCAAGCGGTCCCTGCTGCTGCCTACACCCACCCCAGAACAGCCAGGCTGAGCCAGGGACTCTGAGGTTGGGCAGAACACACCTCCCTCAGGCCCAAGAAAACCTGCTTGTGGTGGAATTGTAACCAACCCCCCATGCCCTGAGCTATCAGGTCAGAAAAGGCCTTTAAAAGCCAGCAAACACCATTTCCAAAACTTTGGGGGAATCAAACCGTGCTTGTGAAATTGTTCATTTAAAATCTCAAGGAAACCATCTGAACAGCATTATACACAAATGCAACAGAAGGAAATGATTTAATTATCTTCGAGATGGAGATCCAGCATTGGTTTTAATAAACAGAAACAGTTTGGAATGTTTTTCCAAACACTTGGAAATATGGGCAGGTTTGGCCATAGAACACAGGATCCCATGGCAGGGGGTTCAGCACATGCAGGGATGATCTGCTGCAGACATCCACAACTCAGCCACGGGGAGGTCTCAGCCCTGGCTTGTGTACCTCTGGTGACGAGGAAGTCATTACCACACCAGGTTGCTCCATCCATATTCCAGCAGCTCTAACTGCTAGAAGGTCCTGCATGGAGAACTGAAATCTATTTTCTGGGAACTCTCCCCCTGCGAGCACCATCCACCCAGCAAAGGTCCCCCTTGCCCTTGAGAGCCAAGTGCGGCATCCATCCCACCTTGAGTCTTTTCCTTGGGCCGGGCCTCTCGACATGGGCAGTCAATCCCCACCTCCTTAGTCGCTCCTCTGTGTCCTCCTCCCTGAGGTACACCTGGAAGTCTCTAGGTGACTGCAAGGAGGCAAAAGGGGGCTCCACCCCTCATGGATGTTACCTAAGGAGGCCCTAACCCTGGCTGCTATGACCCAGTGCGTGTGTGTATGTGTGTGTCTGAGCGTTTATGTGTGCACACACACAGGTGAACATGTGGGGGTCTAGAGGTCCTAGGTGAGCATCCTTGCCTGCAACACTCTAGACACAGGGGTGACTGTCTCTGACTCCCTCATCTGACCTCTAAGAGCAGTGCTGGGGGGTGGGTGAAGGCAAGAGCTGTACTCCTCCCTCCTCTTTACCTTCCCCTGGACTTAGGGCACAGAGGGGCTCTGACCCCTGCATAGTCTGTTTAGTGGGCTGCCCCCCACCCAGAACTCTGAGGGATCAGCACCTTTCTGCTGTTAAGGACCAGCATCTCAGATAGGTTGAGGCACATGCCCAGGGTCACACAGCCATCAAGTGACTAAGCCGCGAGTTTAACCTAGAGAGCCTGACACCCAAGCTCTTGTGACATGCCACTGGCTGGAATTCCAGCAACAGGGGTGGGGGTGGGGTGTCAGGGGGACAAGGAAGGGGGTAGGATGGGCATCAACCACCTGGTCCTAAGGAGTTGCTAGTCTGTTTTAGGCCAGGCCCTGGGGGAGTCCTGGGGCTTGTGACACCCAGGCCTGCCCTAGGGGAGCACCCTGCCCAGTGGGGGAGAGCCACCCCAGCAAGCGGACATACAGACAATGCCAATGCCTCCTCCACTCACCGTGCTCTGGCCACAGAGCTGGGGAGCCTGGCCTGCGGAGGGCCTGGAGGTGCAGACCAGCAGCCCGGGGAAAGCAGGTAGCGTTGCCACACAGGCCCAGGCTCCCAACTGGGATGGATGTCACAGCCGGGCCTTTCCCTCCCTTCTCTGAGGACAGAACCTCTTCGACAGCATCAAGAGTGAACCCTTCTCCATCCCGGAGGATGACGGCAATGACCTCACTCACACCTTCTTCAACCCCGACCGCGAGGGCTGGCTGCTGAAACTGGGTGAGGCGCACACGGGCACGCACGAGGGCACGAGGCAGACACACTCAGACACCCATGCACGCCCGGGACACATGCACACGGGGACATGCGGCCTCAGGGGTGGAGCCGGGTAACCCCCCGCTGTCCTGACCCCAGTGCAGCCATCTGCCTGCCCCATCCCTCCATCTGTCTGTCCTGCGGGGGAAGGGGACAGTGTGGGAGGGGAGGACAAGCAGGAAGAGGAGCTGAGAGGCTGACGGGCCTTCAACCACAGCTCTGTCTCTTCCTGGAAGGTTTCTGAGGAAGCCAGGCCCAGAGAGGTTGGGGTGCCCGTCTGAGCCCACACAGCCAACAAGTGGGTGGGCAGAGGGTTGGGTGTCCCTGCAGGATGGGGGAGGGAGTGGGACAGGATGTGGTTCCGGGGAGCTTCCCTTCAGCATGATGATGGTTGGGGAGGGCCTCCAGCCTGCAGAGAGGAGCCTGGTGGGGGCTGGGGTGCCGGGCTGGCTGCAGAATCAGCAGGGGAGCTGCAGGCCTGCCTGCCCTGCCCAAGCACACTCCTGGGTGCCTCCCCTGCAGAGCCAGCCCAGCCAGGGACTGGGGCGTTGGGAGGCAGGTAAGGACAAGGACAGATACCTCGTGCTGGAGCAAAGACCTGGGCTGGGGGTGCCCGCTTGAGCCCACCACGTCCCCATGGCCCCTCTGAGCCCTCCATGTCCTCATGCCCCGCTGAGCCCTCCCTGTCCCCGTGCCACCCCAAGCCCTCCACACCCCCATGCCCCTGGAGCCCTCCACATCTCTGTGCCCGTATCCCAGTCTGACCCTTGCGTGGACCACTCAGCCTCCTTTTTTGCCCTCTGGACCATTCTCAGCCCCAGGGAAGCTCTGAGTCACGGATCCCAGCTCCTCCACACATGTGCCAGGGGTCAGGTTCCTCAGCTTCGGTTTCCACAGCTGTGAAATGGGGATCACAGTCCCTGGGGGGGGGGGGGGTTCAGTGTGTGTCACAGCAGCCGAGCACCCAGGCTCAAGAGCTGGGACACCAGGCTCAAATCTGAGCTCTGCTGAAGGGCCATGCACAGACAATGGTACCTCCCTATGCCTCGGGCTCTTCATCTGTAAAATGGGGTTAATAACAGTCCCCTCCTCATAAGCAGTTCTAGGGATTAATAAGCAAACATTTTCTAAAAACGTCTAGAATGTTGCCTGTCAGGCAAAAGATGAAATGCTTTGCACAGTGCCAGTGGGGAAGTAGGCCAAGGGATGAACTGAGGGGGAAGGATGGCAGGAAAGCACAGGGAATGGGCGGCCACTGGTCCTGGGGCCTGATTGCCAAGGAGCCTTGAATGCCAGGTCAAGTGGCCAGGGGAGGCCTGGGGTGATGGGTGCCACCAGGATGTTTGAGTGACCAAGGGACGGATCTGGGGGGAAGTGTAGTGGGCTAGGGGTCGGGAGGCTTGAGAGGAGGGGGCAGAGGAAGGCTCTCCAGGCCCTGCTCTCCTGGGAGGAAGTGCCGGTGGCCCAGGGAGAAGTCTGCTGACTGTGCCGATGGCTCCTGCAGGCGGCCGCGTGAAGACGTGGAAGCGCCGCTGGTTCATCCTGACCGACAACTGTCTCTACTACTTTGAGTTCACAACTGTGAGCAAGGGGTCCTCCCCAGCCCCGCCCCCTCCCGGACTCCCACCAAGCAGTCCACTAACAGAGCTTGGGGCCCCTTCGAGATCATTCAGCCCCTCTCTGCACCCATTTCACAGAGGGGAAGACTGTGCGGCAGAGAGCAGGAGGGGCAGGGCCACGCTTGCAGCCTGGCCCAGTGACTCCCAGACCCGAGCCGTGCCCTGCTCCCTACCCCCCACCAGGGCTGGACAGAGTCTGGGACGATTCGTGCACTCCTCTGTGGGTTTGGGGGGCCCTTCGAGTTCACTCCCTGCCCTGGGTCTCAAGGCTGCATTTGCTGATCCTATCCCCCTCCACTGCTGCAGGACAAGGAGCCCCGGGGGATCATACCCCTGGAGAACCTCTCTGTGCAGAAGGTGGCCGACCCCAAGAAGCCAGTAGGTGGCACAGCGGGGTCCTGAGAGCCGAGAGGCGGTGGGGGAGGTGGGAGGGAAATTTCTGAAATGGGGTGGGAGGAGAGGGCAGCTGGCCTGGGCCCTCCAGGAGGTCCTCCACCGGGCTGGGGGTCGCCTCCGTCTCCCTCCTGAGGCCATGGACCCTGGGGGCGGGTCACTGTCATCAAAGGGGCGCAATCTCATGGTCTCTCAGAACCTGCCTCTGACACTGGTGAATGACCTTGAGTAAGTCTCTGCCTCTTTCTGAGCCTCAGTTTCCCCGGCCATCAGCCGGGGGTCTTAGGGGAATGGTGGACTTCGGAGGAGCCTTGCACATAGGAAGCCCTCAGTGTGAGGAAGAGCAGCTCCTGCCCCTTTGCCAGCCGGGGAAGCAGGCCCGGGGTGGGGTGGGTCTTGCTGTTTGTCCGAGCCCCAAGGGGCTGATAGTCACTGAACCCCCAGCAAAGCGCAGCCCCGCCGCCCCCTCCTCCCACCCCTGCCCGGCCCTCACCCCTCCGCCTCCCCACAGTTCTGCCTGGAGCTCTACAACCCCAGCTGCCGGGGCCAGAAGATCAAGGCCTGCAAGACGGACGGTGAGGGCAAGGTGGTGGAGGGCAAGCACGAGTCTTACCGAATCTCTGCCGCCAGTGCCGAGGAGCGCGACCAGTGGATCGAGGCCATACGGTAGGGGCTGCCGGGGCCTCCTGGCCCTTCTGGAGGCCTCTGCTTCTCTCTGGGCCTTGTCTCCTCCTCTGTAAAAGGGGCTAAATCTAGAATCTCCCCCTCGTTTCTGGAATGCAAATCCCTCCTGCCCATATGGTGTAAATACCTCCTCTGGTGCCAGCCCCTGGCCAGGCCCCGCGGGGGACACGAGAAGGTGAGGCCCCAAGGTCATGGGCTGGCCAGAGGATCCCGAGAGATGTTGCATATAAAGCTCTTTGCCTGGTGGTAAGTGCCCGTGAATGGCACACTCATTAGCACCAGGATCCAAAGGGGCCCTGGAAAGACCTAGTAGAGATGGAGGGAAGGACTTTCTAGGGGCGAGGACCAGGACTGGCAAAGACAAGAGGGCAGGTGAGCATGTGGCCTCCCTGGACAGCACCCCAGAGGCCTGGGCTTTGCCTCTGGGCATTGCGGGGGTGGGGAGGGCGGGGGGGAGGGGGTTGCAGCTGGCTCTGCAGGGATCGGGCAGTGGGAGACCAGGCCCCCAAGGATAGCAAGGACTCTGCCACCATGGCAGCTAGTGTGGGTTTCTCCTGGGGGCACTGGGGAGACTGGTAAACAGTAGCGGTGTGGCCAGGTGAGGAAGGCCACGGTGTCGGGACAGATTTGGGGGTTCAGAGATGGGCAGTGGAGGGGCAGATGGAAGGGAGCCAGGTGAGGGGCAGGAGCAATGTGGAGACATGGGTGACGGTGGGTCCTGTCAGCCAGAGGAAGCCACCGGAGTGGTCACTGGGCCAGGGGCTGTGTCCTAGGGACTTGCGGGGTCTTTCCCATCCAGCCTGGCAGGAGTCCTGTGAAGCTGCCAGGCCAAACCCACCCTTAGCTCCATTTCACAGACGAGGCCCTGAGCCCCCCACGGGAGGGACTTGCCCCACCACACAGCCGGTGGGGGCAGAGCCAGACCCACAAGGGGGTCTGCTGGCTCCACCGGGGCTCTTTCCACCTCCTCCCAGGATTCTTTTTTTTTTTTTTAAGATTTTATTTATTTATTCATGAGAGACACAGAGAGAGACAGAGACACAGGCAGAGGGAGAAGCAGGCTCCCTGCTGGGAGCGGGATGTGAGACTCCATCCCCGGACTCTGGGATCACAGCCTGGGCTGAAAGCTGACGCTCAACCACTGAGCCCCCCAGGCAACCCTCCTCCCGGGATTCGGAAGAGGGGTCCACAGAACTTTGGGGGCAGAGTTCTGAAGGCTCTCAGCCTCACCCTCTCCCCCCGCCTGTGGGACTTTGGGCAGGGCTGACTCACCGCAGCCTGGCCCTTGGTGGGGCCATCTGGCCTTTCTCCTGCAGCAGGGCAGGTCGTCCCTTCCCTGGGAGACCCACACCCCTATTCGAGCCCTGGGAGCTGAGGACCGCCCCCCACCCCACCCCACCCCACCCCCACCCCCTTGGCAGCCAGCCCAGCCCTGCAATCTTTTCACCTGCTCTCATTTCAGAGCCAGCATCACCCGTGTCCCCTTCTATGACCTGGTCTCTGCTCGGAAGAAGAAGATTGCCAGCAAGCACTGAGCTTCCTGGAGGTGGTGGCCAGGGGCGGGGCCTCACGGGAAGCCTACCACCTGTGGTCCCGGGAGACACATGTCCCACCCCAGGGCACCCTTTCCTGGGTCACAGACATCACCCCCGTCCCCATTACTTTAAGCTAACAGGAGCGTGGCAGGGGCGGCAGGGTTCCAGAGGGTGGGTGGGAAACCCCGAGGGCTCAGAGGTGGCACTCGGATCCCCTGGCACTGGGCACCCAGGCACCACTAGGAAAGGCCCCCACTCCCTGCCCCGAGTCACTGCAGCAAGGAGCAAGGGAAACAGCCGAATAGGAACCAGCTCCAGCACCCAGCACCCTGTCCTGCATTTGGGCCTCAGTTTCCCCTTCTGTTAAACATCTCCTATACCTGAAATGCTGTGGGCCATTGAGGCAGGAGGGGCCATGGGGATCCTGAGTGCTTCCTGCCCTTGGCCATGGTGATGCCTCTTCCTTCTGCTCAGGGGGTTCTCAGCCAGCCCCTCCCCTGTTTGCAGCAGGGGCTTAGCCCTCCCTGCCTGAGGGACACGCACAGCTCAGACCCATGGACGGAACCGCTGGCAGACGCCAGGAGCCCAGTGCCCGTGGTCTTGGTCGCAGCTGGTCTCCAACTTGATGTGTGCCTGCTGCCAGGTCACAATCTTCTGGTTCTTGGAAAACTGTGGGGTTGGGATAGAAATGTCCTGGTCCCTTCCGTGTCCCCCCTGTCCCCAGCAACGGCAGATCCCAGTGCTGCCCAAGTCGTCCCCTCCCTCCTCACGGGCCACTTCCTGTTGGAAGTGGATCCACCCAAGAAGCTTCTGGCAGGAGGTGTTTGAGCTTGTGGACTGATCACCGGGAGGGGCTTGCACCCAAGGCTGCAGGGAAGCCAGGATCAGAGTGGGCTCCAGTCGCAAGGATGTCCATTTTGGAGGAAGAGCAAGAGGAACTCTTGAAGAAAGGGGAACATCCCAGACACATGTTCATGCGGGACTGGTGGTATGGCCAGGAAGCCCAGAAAATAGAGCTTCATGAACTGTGGTTACCGGGAGGGCTGCCTGGAGGCAGCGCCCATGCCACAGAGCGACATAGGAGCTTGTGGCAGAGTCTCAGCCATAGCCTCCGGGCTGAGCGCTGACTGGGGGTCCTGTGGAGGTGAGGGGCTGCCCCAGCCAGGACCCGGCATCCTGAGACCCGCAGTAGGGCCGTTGAGAGTTGAGCTGACTTCCCAGCAGGCAGCTCTGCCTCCAGGGTGGCCCCAACCAGGAGGAAGACGCCTTGAACAGGCGCCTTCCCAGAAGCCCTTCTTCCCCCGTTGTACAGGCCCTGCGGGAGTCCCTGCAGGGTGGTTCCCCAGCAGGAAAGCAGGATACGTGATTGCCTCTGCCCCAGCGCCAGCCCGTGGGCGAGCCAGAGCAAGGTGGATTCCCCAGGGCACGGGAGGCGAGCTCTCCTCCCCTCCACCCCCACTGACACTCACACACCTTTCATGGAGTCCGGGTAGAGTAGCTGTCTTTCAAGTGGTGAGATCCCCGTCGCTGGAGGTGTGCGAGTGCCTGGTAAGGACATGGTGCTGAAGAGGGCCCGGGTTGGGCATCTGCAGGGGGCCTTGGAGGACATTTGAGGACTTCTGCAGACCCCACGTCAGCCTGGGAACTGAGGGCCACGTCTGCCACCGCCTCTGGCCCCTGAAAGGGCAGCCAGGGGCCACGGAAGGAGCACTGGGCTGAGGGTCATGGGCTCCAGAGTCCTCTCCTGTTCCTGGCATAGGCTGGCTGGGTGGCCTCAGCCTCCCCGTTCCCGCCCTGGTCCTCAGCTGCCTCCCCCATCATTGAGAGGGTGGAAGCAGTTATTTTCCAGGCATAGCACCTGTTCTTGGAATCACTCAGAAAAGAGAATAAAGCTCATGATTCATGTCACCAGTGGGGTCTGTCCTCTCTGTGACCATATCTCCCATCCTTGACCCCACCCCACTCATCCTCATTTCTTTCCCAGATGAAGGCTGGAAGGCCAGACAGGAAAGTGTGGGTCTTCGGAGGGCCCTGGGCCCTCATCCTCAGGGCTCCAGGGCTGTCACCCCAGACAGATGTCCCCAGAGGCTGCATTTGTGACGGAGGTCCCCTCAGGGCAGGGCCAGGGCCCAGGTGGCTCTGCCCAGGCCAGAGAAAGGCAGAAGAACTTCCCAATGGGCAGCGCCGGCCACAGGGAGAGTGAGCGGCTGCCTCGGGAGGGAGGTAACAAGCCTGCCTCAGCGAGGCCCCAAGTGCCGGCCGGCACCAGTAGTCACTGGCGAGGCTCCGAGCTTGAGTTCAGTAACCTTCATTTATTTGTACTTTCCACAATTTTTATTAAGTAGCTAGAGTGTTCCAGGCGCTGCAGGGGGACAAGCCCACGTGTGGTTCACAATCTGAGGATCCTGAATTCCAGGATTCTAGGCCCCCCTCTGGATGCGCAGGGCGAGGAAGAGGCCCCCACACCCTAAGCCAGCGTCCCGCTAGGAATTCCACCGTTGAGCTGCTCCTTGAAGACCTGAAGGTGCCGAACTGATGGATTTCTCCGTGCATTCTCTCCTTTGGCCCGCGCACCTTCCATGCACCAGGCTCCATGCCCAGCACCAGGCATGCAAGGATGACAGAGATAAGGCGGTCACCCTCAGGGGTACGTGGTGCTGGTGGGGGAGACAAGTGTGAAAGAGCAGGGATGGCCGAGACCAGCCCGTGCCGTTAGAGACGGGGGCGCAGGGGCCAGAGAGGGTGGGCTGGGTGGGCAGAGAGGCTTCTCAGAGGAGCTGTGCTTGTTGGCAGCCAGGTTGGGGGAAGGACACACACCTGATCTCACGGTGAGCTCACCTGGTCACTGCCTGCACCTCCCCACACACACACTGACGGTGAACGTCCTCCTCTCCGAACTGGACTGTCCCTGCTCCACCCCTGCTTCACGCCTGGCACACAGTAGGTGCACAATAATTTTTAGAATGAAACCAACTGAAAAGGCTCCCTTGGGCCTCAGCCTCCGCGGGAGCAGGTGTGTAAGGGCAGGGGTACTGGGAGCAAGTTGGTGCTGCCCTGGGTGCAGGGAGTGGCCAAGGCAGGGCCCACATCCCAATCAGGGAAGGACCAAGGGCTCTGACTTGGGGCCAGGGGCCGCCTGGGCGCACCTCCCCCGAGGTCCGCCACTCCTCGCTCTGGGCAGCAGGGGGCTCCCACCACACGTGAATGAGAGGTTCCACCTTGTAGCCAAACCCGAGGCTGCCCTTGGCCGGAGGGGGGCTCCGCCCTGAGCAGAGCTGTGGGCCGAGCATCCTGGAAAGGGAAGCAGCTGGGATCTGCGGCTCCAGCAGCCCCCACGGGCGCAGGTGAGCACGGGCCTGCGCTCTCCCCTGGCACCGGCACCGTGGCGCCAGCTCAGCCCAGGGGTCAGATACCCTGGCTCTCTGCCGCCTGGCTGTGGGACCCCGCACGAGCAGCCTAGCCCCTCCGGATGCCATCTTCCTCCGTGAAGGGTTGGGCCGGGTGACTTCCATGGCACAAACCTCCAGTGAGGACCTCCCTGTGCAAGGGACTCTCAGACATGGGCACAGTGCAGCCCCTGCCCCCTGCCCCTGCCGGGGGCGGGGGGGGGGGAGGCGGGGGGGGGGTGGGAATTGAGACTGTTTGGGGAAGAGGGGGGGCGGGGTCGGATGAGAAGGTGCCAGGAAAGGCACTCACGGTGAAGAGCCACAGGGGGGCAGTAGTGAGAGCCACCCAGAGGGCCTGGGTTCAAGGCTTAGCTCTACCCTGTCTTAAGCAACCTTCCCAAGCCATCTGAGCCTCAGACTTCCCATCAGTAAAATGGGAATAATTCAATATGTTCAAAATACTTAGAACAGTGTTGGGTACCTACTCAGAGTTATGTTAAGTGCTATCATTATTACAAGGCAAACTGTTGCACATGCTTTCATGGTACAAAACAGGCTGGGCCCATCGGAGGAGGAAAGATTCACGGGGGCAGGAGAGTTAAAGATCTGGGAAGCCTTCTTGGAAGAAGTGTCCATGAAAGATGAGCTAAGCAGAGGGCCGGCTGAGCTGCAGGCATAAAGGTGTGATCGCCGAGTCTCTGAGACCCATGTGCCCCTTGTCATGAAGCTCTGACTGGGGATCCAGCAACCCGGCTGCGGAACAGAGGCCATCCCAGGACAAGGGAGGACAGGCTTGGTGCAGGATGCCCTGGGGCGGAGTAGGAAAGAGCAAGGGGGCTCTGGGAAGCCAGGGGGCCGGCTGCCCCTGCCTGGGGAGGGGGAGTGCCTCTCACCCAGGAACCCGGAGCTGGCACAGGGTCCCTGGGCCCAGATGCCAGCAGGCGGAAGATGGGGGGCGGGCAGCCAGGAGTCCAGCCGGCAGGTGTGAGAGACCTGGAGAAATTGATTTACTAGGGACAATGAAAGGAGCTAAATATGTTTGCCGGCTCAGCGATGACTCAGGCGTTCCCCAGGGGTCCGCAAAGTGTGAACATCAAAGAATCAGAGACAGGCCTCCTCCCACCCTGGCAGCTGGCTTTGAGCCCCTCCTTCCCCCGACCCACGAAAGCCCCCCCCTCCCCCGTCCCCTGACCTGACAGGGCAGCAGAGACCCAGCCATCCCACCCAGCCTGCATGCCCCCCCCAACCCTGCCAGACATCCCCAGGATGGCTAAAGAAGTAAGACACATCTAGGTCAAAGCCCTGACCTTGCCCCAAATTGCTGAGTGATCTTGGACAAGTGGCTGACCCTCTCTGGACCCACATCCACCAGAGATGACCAGGCCCCACCAGCAGCCCTTCCTCCCCCACCCTGTCTGGCGGTATCGTTCCCACCCCACTCAGCTTCCTCTAGGCAGCTGTGAGCACAGCCTCCTCTTCCGAAAATCCAACTTCCCTCCAGGAGAAAAGCCAGATTCCACAGGGCCTCCCTGGGGGAGAATATGCTCTTCCGGTACCTGGTTCCAGGCCAGCACTGGGCTCCAGGACAAACACGATGTGTCTATGGAGTCTGAGGCCAGAGGCAGGGAAGAAAGAAGAGGGAGGGACAAATGACCTTCTCGAGGGGCAAAGCACTGGGGGCGGCAAGGGGGTGTGGGAAGGGAAGGGGAGGGTGTGGGGGGGGCGTGTGGGAAGGGGGCCTGAGAGGAGGAAGGGAAGGACACCTGCCAGAAATGCTCGGAGCCCCAGCACAGAGGCGTGGCCTGTTGGGGAGCCCCCCCAAAGCGCTCAGTGGGCACAGAGGGGATATGTACCCAGAGGGCAGACCGCTGGGGGCCTGGAGCCAGGGAAGGGCTCCCACAAGTGGCTGGAGGCTATTAATGGGAGGTCCCTCTGGCTGTTTACAGGGGACTAAGGAGGCACAGGGCAGCAGGGGGCTGGAGCAGAGGGGAAGGGACCCGAAGAGGCTGGACAGGAGCAGCAGGGGTAGGGGTGGGGCGGAGAGAGCAAAGAAGCTTGACAGACTTCTCCTGCACCCACGGGGCCAGGCAGGAGCTAAGGCCTCCATCACTTTTGCCCTTAAAGGCAGTATTTATGAAGGTTTCCCTTTATTTTTTATTTTTAAAAGATTTTATTTATTTATTCATAAGAAACACAGAGAGAGTCACAGACACAGGCAGAGGGAGAAGCAGGCTCCCTGTGGGGGGCCCGATGTGGGACTCGATCCCAGGACCCCAGGATCATGACCTGAGCCAAAGACAGACGCTCAACCAATGATCCACCCAGGTGCCCACGGAGGTCTCCCTTTATGTCCCGCTGTGAGTTCTTAGCTGACTCTCAAAACCAGCCTACCAAGACCCAGTGCTCCAGATTTGATTTGACCCCACCACCCCACCACCCTGCCACCCCGCCATCCCGAGCATCAATAGGTCATGGCCAGGGCCATAGTCATGGAGCATAACTACCTCCACAGCCACTGCCGACAGGGTGCCTCCCAACCTCCCAACACCCTCCAACGTGAGCACGGTCATCCACACTTTATACATCCCCACTTCCTGGGGGCACGTGGCCCAGCCAGAAGGGCCCGAGCCGGCATGGAATCAAGGCTGCCTGACTTGAGACCTGTGTAGATGTAGAGCAGCCATGTCATCCAAAGTGGGACCCGTCTGAGAATACTAGAAGGCTGGGTTAGAGGGGAGTAAACCAGGCTGCCCCAGGGACCCCAAGACATATGCTCACCCAAGAGACTGGCCATATCCACGGGAGTCCAGCTGGGGACATCCAGGTGACCCAGTGGGCCAGAAGGGACGTGACCTATGACTGCTCAGTCCTAGAGAAGCAAAGGGCAGTGGTTCTATCCAGAACCACCACCACCACTCAATGCCAGTGAACTCGTCCCCTTCATGAGTTTCCCCAAGTCCTGCCCCAGTGCTAGTGTGCGGGCCCACCACAAGGACAGTGAGCCAAGTCCACCACAGGCCCTCCACAGATATTAGCTGCCACTCATATTATTATCATTATCATCATTATTATTATTTGCCACTCATTTCCTTGCAAGGCCAAGAACAAGGGTACCCTTATAGGTGCCAGGACCTGCCCACACCATCCTTCTAAGACCAGCTGAAGCCCTCTTCCTACAGGAAGTCCTCCCTGACCACCCCCATCCCCTTTAAAGACTCCAGTGATACCAGAAAAACAGGTGTGCTAGCCCCAGACCTCCGAAGGAGACCCAGTGCTGCTTTGGTCCTGACCTTAAGTGTTTACAGTTTTGGCTTTTGGCAGGCCGGTCTTGTGGTCTGGGGCTGCAAGTCTCCAAGGGAGGGTATAAGCTTTAGTTCTGCTGCTGGACTCCCAAGTCCCCAAGCCCTCTCCTTCTCCCTGTCTCTCAGCTTCTGCACAGGGACCTCCAGCCTCATCTGGGGATGCATCTGCTCAACTGCTTCCACGGGGCTGTTGAGGCCAGGAGGA